CTTGTACCTCTAAAACTCAAGGACTTCTGCTTTCTGCACACTTGTTGTGTTCTCTCTCTCTTTGGGGGCTCACACGAGGCGTAATTAGACGGCGACTATTTTGGCCTAGGCTCCGTTACAACTATTTGGCGACGCATTGCGCGGTGATATCTCGGCCTGGGCCTCCGTTACAACACCCTTCGGTTTAAAAAGTTTCTAAATTTCCGAATAAATTGAAACCTACTGAATGCTACACTTTAATTCAAGGTTTACAAACTGCGCGCTGCGTACATATTATTTAATGAAAAGTATATTTTCCCCTGCAGTTTGAGGAAGAAGTCACATTGTTTTCATGAAATGTCGCAATAGATGTGGATCATGCTGTATAAATCATAGGCATCATTAATAAATTGACTGATACGATGTATTATGAATGAACACCTCACAATTGTACAAAAAAATCACAATTAGAAACTTTTTTTTAAAACCGAGAGATACCCCTTCTTTAAGTATAAAATTTAAAGGATCAATTTGCTTCCAAACAAGTACGAAGAATAATTTTTTCATGTATGTGAGACCTCTAATGGCAACATGGACGGACGAGTGTGTCCTCCAACAGATCGGTGTACGTGTAGTTGCTATTGTATGTCCCCGATCTAATAAAGTCAAGACTGTGAGCTCGTAGCTCAATTGTAAGGACGTTCGCCTCTGACCGGAGAGATCGCGAGTTCAAAACTCGGGTGTGGTAGCAATTTCAGTGGCAACACCGGAGTTGGGTATCACTAGCTGATGACGCCTAATGAAGCAGAAATAGCCATCCCAGTGTCCCATGTCTTTGTCGGTAATGTCCTTCTGCATATATTTTAATTTATAGGGCAGTCAACATCAATGATAAAAATGCATACTACTTAAGTAGCCGCTTTTTACAGTATATACGTTTTGTTAGCGATCAGAAAGAAGCTCGTTAAAAAACTGGCATCCCATTGAGTCTGAAGTGACTTAAGAATAGACTAAATGATAATCAGTATTACAACCTTATTCAGTGCCGATTGGCGAGAGGGTATCAATCTTTCGCATATGTCGACATGTTACACGAATTTTAGAGCGTACTCTATAGATAAAAAATGAATCTCCGGCCATAGTATAGGTACACTCGTCGGTCGTTTGCGTCATCTTGCGTTGTTTAAGCACACGCTTGGTAAGTGTCAAGCGACCGTTTAAGTCGCTTCGTCATCGCGAGGTCAGCCGGTAGCCTTGTCGTCTGTATTTCACGATTCAAAGACCTCTGTTATGTAGAGTAGTCACTGTTGTCAGGAAACCTAGTCTTGATCGATTCATACAGGATTGACCTAGACAGGCCATCGTTCAACTCCCTGCTCTTGAAGTTGATGTACAGGCTGATCTCGTCTGCAAATAGCGTTTAAAATATGCGGCTGACGAAGTCATCTGGCGTTCGTCCGCCATGGCGTGTCATATAGGAGATCTAGTTTAATGTATAGCGATAAATTTTGTGACTTACCAAATCTTTGCGGTATTCACCGTTATGTAGTTGGTCATTAATTTCCTTTAAATCATCTGCTGACCTTACTAGGTAGCCGACTTTTGTCGCCGCAGTGAACGTCGACAGTATGTTTAATTCTGTCTGCACTGCTTTGATAATTCCGAGTGCTCTATCCATACCTTTTAGCAGGAAGTTCAGTATCTTAGTCATGTTAGTCATACGCCAG